ATGAAAAGGCGCTATGATTGGTGAAGAGCGGCATCTACAAGTAAAATCATTAATAAATAACCAACAGCAAAACTTGCATTCTATTATCATTTAACCTAGACCAAAGTAATGTTGGGTACAGCAAGTCGTCGTGTATTATTCTGTGCATTTCGATTACCATGTCGATTTAATTCTACAAACTCTTCAAAACCTAGTGCTATTGTACCTGGTTTATATTCTAAATTACGTGGTGATGGAGCTATACGTCGAAGTGAACCAATCGGTTCAACAATTGAACAAACATATGCCGGTGTTTTATCATTTCTTCGTCGTAATTATACACGTAATTTAAATAATGTTGATGTGGCTATTACTGGTGTTCCACTTGATTTAGCAACAACATATCGACCAGGTGCTCGATTTGGACCAAAAGCTATTCGTGAAGCATCTGTACAATTACCTGAACTTAAATCATATCCTGGAGGAATCGATCTTTTTGAAGATTTAGCTGTTATTGATTATGGAGATTGTTATTTTGATCATAGTCAACCGAAAAAAATTCCAGGTGCCATTGAAGAACATGCTAAAAAGATCATAGATCGAAATGCATTTCTACTTTCTCTAGGTTATTCAGAATTTCTTTAGGATATTGATGACAACGCATATATATTTTTTAGGTGGTGATCATTATATGACATATCCATTATTAAAAGCTCATGTTGCTCATCATAAAAAACCATTATCTCTCATCCATTTTGATGCTCACTGTGATACATGGCCAGAAAAAGGCCCAAATAGTATGAATCATGGTACTATGTTTTATTATGCTATAAATGAAGGTCTTGTTGATCCAAAAACATCCATTCAAATTGGTATTCGAACACATAATGATGATACTATGGGTGTTAAAATTCTTGATGCTAATTGGGTTCATCAACATACAATTGACAATGTTGTTGAACAAATTCTCGAACGTGTTGGTAATAATCCAACTTATTTAACTTTCGATATCGATTGCCTTGATCCAGCATTTGCACCTGGTACTGGTACACCGGTTTGTGGTGGTTTATCAACAGCACAAGCTATTGCTATTATACGTAAACTTGGTTCAGTAAATTATGTTGGAATGGATATTGTAGAAGTTTCACCATTATATGATCATGGAGATATAACAAGTTTAGCAGCAGCAACATTAGGATATGAATTCTTATTATTATTAAGAAATAAAAAAGTTATCGATAAAACATTTCAATTTGGTGCGCGTTAAAACAGATACTTTGTTGTTTTTTTTTGTTCCAGTTCAAACAGTTAATATAATATAAAGGGAAAATAACTAGGATATTGTTAGATTCATTCCAAGCTGGTTTATTTTTTCGGTTGATATTCGATTCTTTCAGTATATTTCTATATTTAACGCTTGTGGTTATTTTTTTTTGGAAGAAGCCACTCACCTTGGTGCTAGCTACTCTCTTTTTGCTTTCAAATGTTGTATGACTTGTGCACTATATAAATGTGTAATTTGATTTCAAAGAATTTATTTTGATCTTTTCTTATTATATCTTGTATCAAAGTGAATTCTCAAAGGTTTGCATAGTTTAGCCTGTCATATTCAATAAACTTATTGTTTTGATAGGAATACTTTTATTAATATTAATACGAAATAAAACTTGTTTTGTGTAAGATTCTGCATTTAAATGTCGAAAGAGCAAAAAAAGAAAAAGATTTTTTCAACCCCTATCTTTATACCAAAGAAAAAGATTTTTTCAACCCCTATCTTTATACCAAAGAAAAAATAGATAAATAACGTTTGTTGTTCTCTTCAATAAATGTAAATATACGAGGTCGAATTGTTTCTTTCTTCCTTTTCTATGGATAAATGACTAATCTATAAATATGCATAAGATATTCATGTCACGATACTTTATAGTAAAGACTAATGTTTACATATAATGAATTTTCTTTAGATGATTTTTTTGCATTTAATATTTTCATGTTTCTGTCTTTTAACATTGACTTCTGTATTTTGTATTGATAAAATTTGTAATAAAAATAATTGTCAATTACCTTGTTGTCAATGTGCTGTTAGTAATAGTAATCCAACATCATTAGACATCACTGATATACCTCAACTCGTAATAATTTTATATATAAAAAAAATCCATTGATTAGAGTATATGATTTTAACTATATTTAGGTTCTATTAACTTTTGTTGGTAATTTAAATAAATATACATTTGATCCAATTCGTTCAATTCTAAATCCAACTTATCGAAATCCAAATAAATGTCCTATATCATCAACATTTTTTGTTAACGATAATTATACAGAATATTGCTTAGTTCAACGACTTTTTGATAATCATAATGAAATAGCTATGACTACCTCTAGCAATAAGTAACATCGATTGTCTATCATTCTTTTTTTTTGTTTTTTGTTTTTCAATCGAAATCTCTTTTTTTTTCAAAGATGTCCATTAACAAATTGTTATGATGAAAATAATTGGCGTCGTTGGTCTGATAATGATTGGAAACGTGAAATAAAACAACAACGTTTAAATCTAATAGAACAATCAAATATTCATCAATCACATATAAAAGGTTTTCGTGTACCACATTTACAAATCGATGATAATAGACATTTTGAACATATTAGAAATTTTCATTTTCATTATGATTCATCAATGTTATTTAAATCATCAAATTTTCTATGGCCATTTACACTTGATTATTCATTTAATCAAACAGATTGTATTAATTGTGATGATTCAGATAGAACAATTCAAGCAGTTTGGCAATTTCCATTACATGAATGGACTTATCCAAATGGTGATTTCATTTTCTTTTTCTGAATTTTTCATTTGAGAAGCCGAAATAGAAGGATTATAATTGAAAAATAATATTTTGGATATGACACTATTAATATCAAACAATGGTTATAAATTTCGATTTTTACATCTTATCATATTTATTTTTGAAGTTTTCTAATTCGATTTAATTAAAAATTCAAGATTTATTTTTCTTATCATATATATTATTTAGTTCCTAACGAGGGTATTCTTCTAGTGAGCAATCGCTTATAAGATAAGTCTTATCTCATTCGATAGGTTCTATAGAGATTAGAAAAAAATCTAGAAGTTTCTATATTAATAGACATATTTTCTTCGGCCATGGTCTTTTTAATATACTTCTAACAACAGGCCAACTCTCTTCATCAATTTCTTACTGTTGAGCTCAAATGTGGCATACAAGAATTTTTCGCTGAGATTAATTCATTGTGACAATGCATAATTTTCTATCAAGTCCTATCCAGACATATTAGTGTTTAAAGATTCAGCCATGTAAAAACGACAAACTCTTCTTATAATTATCTGTCAGAATAGAATATACTAGAAAATATAATCCTTTGACAATACACTAATCTCATTGAGAAATTCTTTTACGCAAAACTTTAATTCGAAAATAGAAAATTGATTTTGAAAGTAATCTAGTCACTGAAGGTCGTATACTGTAAATTAAAACGAATAGATCATATTCAAGTTAAATGAACGCTCTCCTTCCTACCAAACTAATTAATATAAAATATGAACTTCCTATATCATGTACAAACTGAGATATTCTAATTTCAAAGTATTTACACTGTATGTCACGTGCCTAAATTTCAAAATTGAAGCAGCATTTTGTTTTCATCATGGCTGAATAGAATTGCTCAACAGGTTACATAAAGAAAAAAAGACGATATCACAAAAACTTAAAAGTAATTTTACGAAGAAGTCCGACATGCCATTCTTATAGACAACAATGACGGAAAAAAACGCTACTGCAATTTTTGAAGTATAGTCATATGAGATAGACTATAAATACATTGAAATTCAAATATTTTGATCTGTGCACACTATCACAATAAGTAGAGCATTCATTTGATATGATTTTGATCAAACTCCTTAAATTACATTATGAGACCTTCGATTGTAGGAAAGATTACAATATCCTGTTAAAAAATTCATCAAAGCGAATATAACTTATGAAGAAGAATTGCTTTTGGTTGTCTCTAATCTCATGAGAACCTTTCGAATAAAGCATGATCTATATCAAAAATGATTTATCATTAGCTGAAAATTTCCTCGTGAATATGTAATCAAAGTAAAAAATGAGATTCTTTGTTCTTTTTTAGCAACTACATCTTGTCGTAGTCTTTCCGATTCAACTTGTTTACCGGATGATAAACCACATACGGTCGATTTATTTTTTGATTTTATTAAATATAATTTTGATCGTCACTCATCATTAACTCTTGGTCATCGATCTCCATTTATAATTGAACTTGATCTATTTTGGTTGTCCGAACATCAAAATACACGTCTTGAAGCATTAATTCGTTTTATTGAATTTATTTTAAATAGTAACGATTATGATTATGTTTATTTTATTTCAATTGAACAAGCACTTGAATGGTTAAAATATCCTCGTCCATTACATGAGCTTAAAGATTTTTGGGCATTTAGTTGTAGTAATACGATATATGAATATGATATTGATTGTTCTGATAAAGAATTAAATTTATTAACTCAAGAAGATAGTAAAGAATTAACATCAAAGGATGACTCAAATAAAAATAATTCTCAATTAATTGATCGACAAGGTGAAGATTTATTTCGTAGTGGTATTGTATTTCATTCCATATGGATATTTATTTTATTAATTTTAACTGTTCTTTTTTATGATAAGTATTTTGCAAACAAGTGATATTTTATTTTTCGTTTTTGGTCCTTTGTTTAAACTATTCCGACAATAAATAAAAAAACAAGAAAACATGAATAACTATCAAATCATTTATTTCTTTTTTTATTGATCTTTTTACTTTTTTAAATATATCGACAACAAAAAGAGAAGACATTAGACATTGGAACCGGACTGGAGCAGAAAAAAAAAACAAAAAAAAAACGATTTCATTAGAGAGCTATGATACAATATGAAATCACTGGTCTAACACATATTATGAAAACAAAAAATATGTAGATACCCTTAATGAAAGATGTATTTTAATATGATTGCAACGACAATAATAAGAATCAATTGAGTATACGATGAAAAAGGATTGCAATTACTATGCTCATGTTTTATTCGATTGTTTTTTAAAGCATTTAAATCTCTTTCATGTACATCAAGTCGTTGATTTATACGAGTTAATGTTGTTTCAATATGTTTTAACATTGTTGTTATATCATCATTAGATTTTAAAAGTATTGATGTTTGATTCGTCATATTTGGTTTTATATATTGTGTTTCATCTTCACCAATATTATTGAATGATGGTGATGGACCACGAGTTAATGCAGATGCTCTGCTGACAGTATTTATTACAGAATTATTTCGACTTGATGTTTGATTTGTATGACTTATATTCTGTGCTCGATGACGCGTACGAGTACAGATAATAAAATTATTTTCATATGTTGATATATCATTATGAGCATCCCATGGGCGAGAACTAAAAATAAATAGTTTATCATAAATTAATAGTTTGAAAAAATTTCATATAGTTTAATTGAAAGTGTTTCTGTAAGACAAATAAAAGATTACAAAAGTTCAAATTTATGCTCGTTTTTTGGATAAAGATATGACCTTGTACATTTCCGTTATCATTATACGCTTCAGAAAACCTATTTATAGGTCAAATGCAGCTTCTTCTACAATATTCAATTAGAAAAACTTCACTATTTATCATATCCATTGTACATTGATAATCAAACTTATGAAAACATGCTGCTATCTTGCTGTGAATTAGCAATAACACTACATGGTGAGATGCATAGATGTATGGAGAGCTCGATGTCAGATAATGCAAATAAATATAATGTAAACTATCGAGAGAGAAAGAAAAGAAGCCAGAACACAGTGTGAAAGACACGCAAAAATTAGAACGAATAAGATGATACAGCGTGCCGTCACAGGAAGTATAAATCATGATTTTTAGACAATAAATATAGACTAAATCGCGTTTTTTTTAGCTTTAAAACTCTTCAACATCGACCATAAAGTACTTACAAAGTTTTTCGAAAATCATCTACATTTATGCTTTTAACCCTTTGAGGACGGTGGGACATATTTGTCTCACCTATGTTTCAGTACAAAAAATGTTTGCTCTACATGAAACTGTTACAATCTTTAAGGTAAATAGGTCGCCTATCTGCCATCTCATGAAGGTCTTTTCTCCCTTTCTTCCTGCCATATAGATCCTTCTCAGATGTCCTCCTTTCTTTCTGCTACTATATAGTGACGCATAATTTCTGCCTCTATTCTCTTGATGCATTATCATCAGGTTTTTATCTGATCGTTTTAAGCCAAATACAACAGATTGATTGAAGAGCCATTTTTCGATTGAAAAAAATTCCGTCCTCAAAGAGTTAATATGGATTAAAGTTCGACTATGATACCATATATAATTTTACTATAAATATTAAATTTAGGAGTCATAGATGATGAGCAAATAATCAAAAAAACAAAGCAAATCATAGTTTTTACTCGTAGACATTGAAGGTAATGATACCCTACCAAAAGCTGTATACACTCAACAGCTAAGTATGCTTGCTATAGAGAAATACATAGAAAACATATACATTTATGATTACTCGCATCAACTATAGGGAAACAATAACTAATTTGTTACAGTTAGCATCATTAATGTAGAGAGGATATCATTAATTGTAAAGTTTTTTCTCCTTGAATATTTCTTGGTTTCTAACAATTAAATGGATTTCTTTTCTTCCAAAAAATATGTCGTACTATTAGAGTTACGAGGTAAACACTCGAATTTATACCTGTCGTTTGAACTCATATTGAGTTCACACAGTGATCTTAGTAACACCAGAAAAATACTAAAATGATTCATGCTCAAGATTCTCTGAAGCCGAGTTATGACCATTCTACTGAATTTTTGATTCAGCTATAGGTATTTACCGAAAAACTAAATAACGGTATTTCGACCTGATATTTTAAATTCGATATCTTGAAAAAGGGACATTTATTTCAGCTGAAACTTTTATAGTATTCTAAGGATCATTAGATCTATCTATGGACAAAATTCTATTATTGGCCTTTCCAGTAAATACTTACAAATGAGTCGAAAATTCAATAACACGGTCATAACTCGGCTGTAGAGCTTCATGAGCACGAACCATTTTAGGATTTTTCTAGTGTTGTTGAGATCTCCTTGTGAATCTAATATGAACTTACGCAGCGAGCACGAACTTAAGTAGTTTCCTCGCTAGTAAATGCAGATTCTATATAAAAAGAAGAGTCATCATTTGATATGTTTAGAAAAGCATTGTAATTTTAATGTCATTCAAGTTTTCTGTCGAATAGATGTCTGCACATATTCTGATTAATATTAGTTTTGTCAGATTCGGAAATCAAATTTGAATACTCTTTCGTCAAAGAAATAAAAAGTCACTGTTTTTATGGGACACCTATTCAAACAAAGGCGAGTTATGTGTATTTTAATTGACATACTCTGCATAAGTATAAATCCATTCTTTGGTATTTGAATCAATATTGAATAAACGTGGATTCCATTCAGTACCGGTTGCTTTACGTTCTTTGATTTGTTTTCTTTGTTCATCTTCAATAATTGTTTTTTCTTCTGTTGCTGATATTTGATCATTTTGTTTAATAGCTGCTGTAACACGTTGCCATAGTCTGAGAAAATAAAAATAAATATAAAAATGAACTTTCTTTTCTATATTTTTAATTACTTTTCAGATTCATTATCTTGCTGTTGTTCAATTGGTACAACATATCGTTTTAATCGTGAATTAACAACGGGTTGTGTAACTTTCCAAAATGCACTTTTTGTCTTTCAAAAACAATAAATTTTATTAAAACAAGTGTAATATTAATATAAACTTACATTTGTTGCTTTATCTACAATTGTTATTTCATCATCCCAATGACCAGAAAATGTATATATAACGTCTTTTTCAAGTCGTATTTTTCCTTCAATATGATTTGTAAGTTCTTGACCACCAATAAATGGCTACAAAAAGTGATATTAGAATAACTGATTATAAAAATATGTATTCTGTGATCTATACTTTTAATTTAAATTCAATATCAGCTGAATATCGAGTTTTTTCACAAACAATAGTTACTTTACCACCTAATTCCATGGTTAATTTACCAATGAGAATGCCTATTAAATAATGATAATCATAAAAGATATTTTCAACAAAGATAACACAAACTACCTTTGCAGTTAGCATAGGGCATTGTAATAATATAATCTTCTCCTCTATTAAGTAGAGTAAGTCGAGCTGTTCCATCAAGAATAGCAGAGAGGCTGTTTCCTATAAAGACCATATAATTGATAATTATATCAAAAAATAAATTACTATTAATATACCATAAAATTTCGATCTTGCCAATATACTTCCTTGTACAGCAAAGCCTTCTTTTCGATTTGATACATAAAAATTGGTAATTGGAGGATGATGCGATATCTATATAAACAAAAGACATATTCTTCTATTCAAGCATCACAAATATGAAAAGTATAACACAGAAAAAAACAGCAAAACAAAAAATAACAATTCATAATAACTATGATTTTTGCTCAATTATTTTTCGAATCCATGGAAGAAAATATGAAACTTTTGAATAAACTCCCGGATAAAAATAACGTGCACATCCATATCCATATGATGTTATACCAATAAGAATCCATTGATCTGTTCTACGTGGTTTATAAACCAATGGACCACCTGAATCACCTATTCAAACAAAATAAAATATTATTCTTCTTTTGAATCTAATCTATTTTTTACCTTGACATGTATCTCGTCCACCAGCTAAAAGTCCTGCACAAAGTTGTGACGTACTATTAAACCATCTATAAGCATATCCACATGTTGGTAAAATTTGTACAACTGCTTGTTGTAATCTATAAGGTACGTATCCAATTTCAGTAAGTAAACCAAATCCTGTTATAACAACAGGTTGATATATTGATACATTAAAATTTGTACTTGGTGGTAAACAAACTACATTAACTGTATCACTTAAATTAACTGGATAAACCAAACGTAATATAGCAATATCATGTCCATATTCAGGATGATAATAATTTTCATGAATATATTTCATTGATACACGATAATATGTACCAGCATAATAACCTTCACTTATCATATTATGTGCACCAACACGAACAAGTAAATGATTTGTATTATTTGATAATCCACCAGCAACACAATGTGCACTTGTTAAAACATATTGTCTATCAATTAATGTTCCACCACATATAAACATACTATTTATAGTTATATAAACTTGCCATGGCCATGCATATTCTGATGCTGTTTCACCACCAACAATACGTGATTCAGTTGAAAAAAATGAACGCATTGTACCACATGAACGTGTTTTTTGTTCAGCATTTATTATAGGAATAAAGAGTACGAATAGAACTAACATTTGTGTTTGTTTTCTTTTTTAAATATGAAAATGACGAATCGATCTATTTCATTTTGTGATCGGTCATTCTCTTTTTCTCATTTTTGTTTAACCAATGAACGAATGAGAAACAAAAAATATATTACCTGTTCGGCTAAATAGAATGTTTTGCTGTCGGTCTTTGTGTGATGAAAAAAACATCGATAAACTTCACCGAGAACTGGATTATATGGTTTTTTTAAACCCTAAATAATCATAAAAAGAAAATTAATGATAAAAAAAAAAATCTTCTTGTCAAACAAACTTTGGGTTTTTTATAAAATCCTGATAAATAAAATTTGACAATTGTTTTCATTCGTATTAATGGATCAGGAGAATTAACAGCTCTAAAATATTAATTTGATGCTTATAGACTAAAAAAGCAAAAACTGTGACTAAACATACTCTTCAAGAATATCACAATGATGATAATAATCTGAAAGTTTTTCAAGAAAAGATCTTGGTTCTAAGATAAATGTTGGTAAAACAACTTTTGATAAATCCATTCCTGGACGAACTTGTTTTAATAAATGCATTATAAGGGATTTATTTTCTTCAGCTACATCTTCAGTTTGTGCAGCATTACCAAGCTAAAGAAAGAAGAGAAAAAAAACCATAATTATTTATTTAGAAGAAAAAATTCTTTAATTTTTTTACTTCTCCCAATTCTTCTGGTGGTGCTGCAACATAAGGTGTTTCATTATCATCATCGTTTAGAAGTTCTTGAGAACTTTCTGAATGACTTGAACCACTTCGTGATGCTTTACTTATATCAACACTTGCGTCACTCATACGATCATCTTCTGTAAAAAAAAACAAAAAAGAGAATTTTATTTTTTGAATTATTTATGTTGATGGAAAATGAGAAGTAAAGTAACCTTCTTTTGTTGTTATACGACTTAATTCAAAATCATTGTCTGAAAAACTTGTAGTTAAAAATGCACCATCCCCAGCTGTTGTTGATGGAATTGAAACAATTGGAGAACTTGTTGTTAAATCATCACTTTGTATTGAAGCTGAATAAGGTTTTTTAAGTAATTTTGAACATTTCATTGTTAATTCAAGTGCATCAATCCAACAACGCCCTGGAAAATAATTTAAAAAAAAACAAACTTTTATTTGATTTGTTTTTTCAAAGATAATATTTTATATACCTGCTGTTTCATCTGATGCACGACAAATAAGATAATTCATTGGAAGGGGAAATGTTATTGCACCGAATTGTTCATTATTGGGTCCTTTTTGAGCCCAGATAGATTTTTCAAGAGGATGCCAAATTTTAAAACAGAAACCCGTCTTTTTTGATGGACGTTGAATAACTAAAAATAAATCAATTCTTCATATGCATACAAAAATCAATAAATGTAAATTTTTCTAACATTCAATTTATTGGGATTATTTCATACTTATTATCTTTACTGTAAAAATTTTAAATTCAATTATTTTTCAGAAAAAATAAAATGTTTACCAAAATTGAGTCTTTTACATTCGATCATTCTTTATATGATGAATAATGCCTATGGTAAACAAGGCTTTTAATTATAATCAAGACTGGTGAAAATTCAACGATGGACAAGTAAAATTGAATGAGTAACTTGCTTTGCACATCTCTGTAGAAGTTTATTCTGATTTGTAATGAACTCTTTCATGCATATTGTATATGTAAATTATTAACAACAGTCCTATTTATTGATTCATCAGAGAAAAATTGATGAGAACGTGTTCAAGCGAAAAAAGAAAACTATATTAATATAAAATAACAAAATCTATCTAATGAAGTTAATAATAAAGAACTGAAGTACAACAAGAAAAAAAAACGATCGAAGAAAAATTTAATCGAAAACATAATTTTGTTAAATACATAAAACAAGAAGAACTTTATATCTTAAATTTGTCTTCATTTTCATTACTATTTTTAGTACAAAATTTTAATCATGATTGTGGTTATATGTGATTTATACACAACATTTATTGCATATAAATTAGTTATAATTATTGGATTTATGCAAAACAAAAAAAATGAGGTCATTTGATTTGTAGCACAACTAATTAATTCACATAAACTTCGCATTTCTCTATATCTCAATATTCATAACTCTCGTGAGTAAAGTTCAATCATAGTCATGAGTTTTTCGAAAAAAAAATGATAAGGATGACGTTTACGATGACTCCTGGTTGAAGGTGATCACGCACCGTTACTAATGATAAATACGTGAATGATACGAAATTTGATAATAAAGCTAAATAAGTTCTTCTCTTTGTTATTTCCAAAAAATAGAAAAGTTAATGGACTTTTAATCGTACAACAAAGTTTTATTTATTTCATGTCAATCTTATGTTCTAATATTCTTATAAATTTCATATATACAATCTTATAAAGCTAAGGAAAAAGAATGATCTCTAAATTTATTTTTTCCAATTTAACTAACCTTCACATGATGATAATACAATAGTACCAACCCAAACGCCATTCTATTAATAAAAAACTAAGAAATATGATAGAATAGAAAAAAAAGAACTAACTTTTGATGGTGGATTTCGATAGAGCAGCATAAGTCCGGGCTTAAGTACGGCCCATAGTTTAGTCCAATCTCTTAGTGTTCCTCGAACTTTAAGCCAATCGCTAACGATAACAACAGATGAATCTTTAAGTACATTTGCTAATTCAGATGTAATACGCTTTTTTGCACTCTGATATGATTGCTTTTTCATCTAAACAAAAATAAACATAATGTATACTTTATTAATTTAATTTAATTTTTACTTTATATGATTCATTTTTAGACGTATTTCTTTCGACTGATTCATTTGATGAACCTAACGATTCAAATGTTGTATTCAACTAAAATGAATTTTGATCATTTTTAAAAATTAAATTAATCAAAAGAAGAAAAAAAAAAGAATTTTACTTTATTCATATCACTATCATTTAATAGTCCCATTGTTGCTAAACCTAAACAAAAAAGAATTAATGTTTTGAAAAACAAAACAAAGAAAATTCTTTTACCAGAAGCTAATTCATCAGGTTTAGCTTGTTCACTAAGACTTGATACTGTATTAGATCGTATAATACTTGTTTCATTATCATCTTTAGTTCTTGATAATGAGCGATCTAATCGTGAAGTTTTTTGTTTAAGTGGTGTTTGATAACGAGTGCCATTAGTATTTGACTAACACAAGAAAAAAAGATTTAATTATTATTAAATACAGGAAAAACTTTTATATTTTTACTAAATTCTCTTTTGAACCTTGACGATTTGTTGATGTTTCCATAATAATTGAAGGGATATTTGACTAAAAATAGATAAAATAAATGGTGTTATTATGAATTTCATCGACTGATTAATGATGATTATCGAAGTACTCAAACCTTTCGGCTAGAACAAGTACGTGGTAGATAAACAGAGACATGATGATGAGTTGTCATAATCAAAAAGCGTAAATAAGGGAATAGGAAAAAAGAAGAAGAGAAGAAGAAGATGATGGTGATGAAAATGCAGAAGAAGGAAACCAAGCGAAGATGTTTTTGTGCTTTCTTTCCTTTTCTTTCCTTCTTTTTTGTCGTTTTTTTTTACTTTTTCAACCGGTGACGAGACTTTGTCTGTTGATCTCTCCATTAGTACCACTTTTGCTGTTTGCTTGTTACCATCTTTGATGTCGTCTTCTTTGTCGTCACTGTGTCGACGACTAACACAACACCAAAATAAATCATCCTTTTCTTTCCACTTCATTCTGCTTTCAATAACGATAGCTAATCTATAGCTAGCTATTTCTTGTCGTTGGTTTTCTATTATCACTTTTTCAGCCGAGCATACCAGAATTACAACGTTATTTCCTGTTGGATAAGCCCAAATAATAATGTGTATTTTTTTATAACTTTCTTTCTCTCTATTTCTTCAACTCAACTGTGAAGCCATGATGAGGCTTTTCTTTTGCACTCTCGTCACGGTTGCATGCTAATAATATGATTTGATTGCATTACAAGATAATGACGAAAAAAAACAAATATAGATGCTCACCTCTTTTTTTCCTCTTCTTTGCTTCTATTTTGACAGTTACCTGTGTTGTTTTTGATTGTGAATAGTTTGCGTGTTTTTTTTTCTTTTTATTTTCTACACATACAGTCAAATATAATCAAGCACGCACGATTGACCTCGTATCGATGCTCGATTCCTAGACTCAAGTACTATTACAAGCAAAAAGAAGAGAAAAAAAAAGATGCCGGTTGCTGTCATCCTTTTCTTTTCTCTATTCCTTTTGATTATCGAATTACACTTTTATGTATTTATGACATAAAACGTTCTTTTACAGATGAATATATAAGAATGTGAAAAAAGATCTTATCAGGACTTGTACTTTTGCTTGGATTAGACATCCGGAACAAATGCAAACAAAGACAGAATAAAGACAAAAAATAAAACTAATAATTTTTTTTGTTATTTATTATTATAGCATGTATACAGTCTGTAGCCCGAATTATTAGTACAGAATAAGCTGGTTAATTGTATATGTATCTTACCCTTATTTTCTGTTTCTTCTGCTCTCTCATTTTTCTATGAAATAATTGCGTGAGCATACAAAGTTATATACAATTAAGTTTTTTAGTCTTTCTGTTTCTCGTTTCCTTGAATATAAAAGAAATGTTTGATTGTTTCGTCTAGCCTTTTTTTTCTTTTAATCGTGTACTTACATTCTCCATTTTGGTGTGTATGCTTTGCAATATTACATGATTAGTGAAGCGAAAATATAATCTAAAAGAGACAATAACAATCAATATCTTTTATATTATGTCTGATTAATATATTATTTATTTCTTATTATCGAAAATGACAGTGTCGAGTGAAGAGTTTTTAGTGTAAATGTGGACGATGATAATAAAAAAAAAAAAACATGTCTCCAAGTCAAATTAGAGCTTGTATCGGCTTATTTTTAGATGTTTCCTACTGAGAAAAATAATCCGGAAGGAAGCGACGATTACCCTTACCGCATTCCGCCTCAATCCGCTACTAGAAAATAAAACAAAACTAAAAAAAATTCTATTCGATTAAATATAATTTTCGATAAAGATAATGAAATTTTATCATTATTCTTTTTTGTCTGTAAAAAAAAACAAGGTCTTCGAGTTCAGTAAATGAACTTTTGTATTTGACATCCGTCCTTGAAGAATAAGAAATTTCCTGACTAGTATCTAATGATTATTCTTATCCTAAGGCATCTCTTTTCTTTTTATAATACAACTGATAAATATCTCATGATAATGATGTTAACCATTTTTTTTTATTTTTTTTTATTTTCAACAAAACAATTTTTTTTTTTTGAAATTCTTTTTTAATCGGCTTCATCCATTATTGCATATTGTTCATCTTCTTCATCACGACATTTATATTCGGAAAGTAATTTTCGAACTTCAGGTCCAATTGTATGATGAAAATGATGATGTAATAATTCAAGTAATGCTTGTTTTTGTTCTTTTATGAAACAAAAAAATAAAAATAAAAACAAATCATTTGAAAATAAATCATTTTCAAACCTGTTGATATATCTTGTCGATAATTTTGAATAAAAGCAAGTAATGATTGATGCCAAAGAACTGGTAATTCACGTGTATCAGAACGAAATCTATTATAAATAATCATAATAGTAATAGATAATAATAATAAAATATACATACTTAATGAAATGATGAACAAGAGCATCAACAACACGAAATGGTAATGCATAACGTTTTTCAATTAGTGTTCGAATAAATATTGAATTGCCACCCGAATAATTCATTTCAGCGATTTTTAATAAAGCTGCTGCTGAATGTAACATCGGAACGGAATTTTTTGCAAGGATACTTGCAATGATCACAGCTTCACGAAGTGTACATGTACCTGACTAAAACAAAACGAAAAGGATAATTTAATCGTTTTTTTCTCATGGAAATATCAGTCTCTTTCTACAAATAATAATAATATAAATATACGAGTTTCTCATAAAATAGCTTTTCATTTAAAACATTTGGGAAATCATCATTAATCAATGTCTAGACAATTATCAATAAATATCTTATGTATGAGTACTTTTAATAAGTATATCTGCAACTCATATGAGGTAAATTCTCGCAGAGTTCTAACCAGTCTTTACCGATTGAAGAATATTTTATAGATATGTCTTTTAAAAAGTACAGTTTTTATCGTTAGCGTTATCTCATAAGTTCTATCAAAATAATAAGAAGTAATGCATCTTTAGTGAAAACTTCCACTCCACTCTTCTTCAAGCTTTCATTCATAAGTGTTAGTTTTATCTTCTTCTGTTTGTTTCTACCTTTTTTTTTTATCTCTTTAATTGAAATATATTCAGTTTTCAAAAAGCACAATCAACACTGTACTATTTGAACTAAGCTTAGTCTTTGTAAAGATCAAACTTAGATTGCGATTGTCGTAATGTTAAGTTTGTGGGCAAAGACTGAGTGAAAAAGTTCAAGATTTGAACTTCTTCAATAAGTTGATGGGTAAATGACTCGTGTTTTTTTCCGCACGATATATAGAAATACTCACATATTTATCTTTGAGAAAGCTAATAGATGTAAAACAGTTGTAACATAATATTTCTTGATGCAAATTTGTAAAAATTGAGTGCAAAAAGGAAAAAGAGTGTTTTTTTTTTAATTTACTTTTATCAATCGCCTCATAACCATCTAGAAAACCGGTCGCACAGACTAGCTAAAACTTTGTATTCAACTATATCTTTAATGGATATTTTGATTGATAGTATAAGCAGTGATTTGCAAAACATTTCAATAAATAATTACACTGCTATTTATTATTTTTTATCACATGTTTTCATCTTATTAGAAATTCTAAAAAGATGGCCTAGTTCTTTTCATAACTTAACAATCATATTCCTATTTATATTAATATTATCAAGAGAAATAGTGTCAACCAGTAAACATATCAATCTTATTATTAAATGATTTCTTCTTCCCATGTGACAGTTCCGGCTGAATTAAACAAATGATAAATCGTTTTAAGTGAAATGAACAAAAACGAATGATTAGCTGCTGAGTATTTCTTTTCGATGAATGAACAAGAGAAGTTCCTCAATTGAAAAATTGATTTTGAGTCAAGACTATATGCGTCACGTAGGCGCTGATGAGCTATAAATATCCTGAAAAGAGTTCAAATCGATAGCTTATTGCTACCGAGGTACTGTATTTTTTATTAGAATACCGTTGCCTCTCTCAGAAACACTAAGAAAAATGATTTTTTGAATTTAGATTCAAAGACCCTTTGTTTTGGTGTGTCTGAGGGATGAGTCTACACACTATGTCCATAATTCAGACTCAAATGCAATTAACCAATTGAAGAACTTGTCTCTGAAGGTTATTCAAGTGTTGATTTTTACATCGATAGATTAGATTAAAATTGATCAACGTTAAGCTATAATTTTTTTCCCATTGAATATACAGAATCTCTTTTTATAAAATACGATATGAATTTAACATTATTCTAAGACTATTTTCTCTTCGCATGTTATTTACAAAAGAAATTTTACCTCACATAGCGGTAGAATAATCCCTTTGAAGAAAGCACTTGGTTTAAATAAAGCTTTTCTTAATGCCTATATATAAAATATAATTATGATTTTATTTTGCATTTATTACAAAGAAAAATCGTACCATATAAAGATGAAAATTAAGCCTTTTGTATTCATCAATATCATCACGAATACGTGGAAGTAAAATAATATTATAAAATCTATTTATATTAATAAGAAAAAAAAAGATGATCTTTTATATGAATATATACCTTTGAGCCATTTTAGCATCCATATTTGAAGCAAATATTCGTGTTGCTTGATACATAGATGCTGCAGTCCATCGATCTGGTTGTGTTATGAGTAGTACCTGAAAAAAAAATAATTTTTATTCATTTTTACATGAAGAAGAATTATTTACTTGTTCCCAATTAGCTAAATTTGGTAGAATTTTAAATGCTTTTGGTATTTTACCACTTCGATAATGGGCAAGAATTTGACCAACTTGTTCATACATGCTGGAAATACGTGGATCTAGATCATTATCAGCTGGAAATTGAAAAAAAAATAAATAAAATTAGATTTTTTACTATTAGTTTATGAATTAATTACGTGATGATTGATTTTGTGCTTGTTTTTCAGCAATAATATCACCAAGTAAACGTCGGGGCTGACCACTCATAAATGCTTCAAGTGCTTTTTCATCTTCTTCATTGATCTTTTAAATAAATAATATCGAAAAGTAAAAAAATCTAATTGAATTTCTCTTACAGAAATTTCTTCATCATCATAATCATCTTCTTCAGCATTTAAATCATCTTCATCACTATCTTCCGTTCGATTTTTTTTGATTTTATTTATACGTTCTATCGATTCTAGATCTCTAGAAAAAAAAATTATTCAATATTAATAATAAATTAACAAGGATGTTCTTAGTGTGAAGATAACATTCTCATGAATAAAATCCTGCTAATGATATAGTTTCAAATCTAAATAAATATCATGTTCGCAGAAAAGTTGATTTTCGAATTTCGACTAAAAACTTTGTACAGAGACACATCTTGACGAGAATATTTTTCTCTAAATGTTTCTGACCTTGTTATCGTTCCTAGCATATGACGCAAAAATCTACGTACAAAATAGATTCATTTATTTTGCGGCTACCCAAAGACAAGCGGTTTGAACTAGAAGAACTTAGTAAAAATCAGACTTTTTCTCTTTCCAAAAATGTATTCAAAATCGATTTCCATAGAAACTAGCTTTTCGTAGTAAACATGTATAGATGCGATTGTGCCTATTATAATAATTCATTTTACTCTGATCTTAATTCTTTAGAGTATTGTTCAGTTGAAGCTGTTCCAAAACAAACTTAGAAGTGCTCCAAAACCGTTGTTCTACTTTATATAGACACCACTTTGGGCTTTTTCACAAAATTTACTAATAATTGTTCTATCTTACTACAGAATGAAAATCTAAACCTCTATTCGGAAAATAGCGAAAAGTTCTGTTTCTAACTAACTGCTACTGACCTTAAGCAATTCTCTTCATTTGGTCAAAAATGAGTAATCATCTTGTGTGAAGACATCTGCTCCATAGAATATCGTAAGATGCACCATGGTAAGAAACTGTCTTCGATGTCACTCTCATAAATCGCCAGATTTTATGTTCTTATTTCAAGATAGAGGCAAAACAAAAGATTTTTATGACATTCATTGTAAAAAATAATTTATATGTGCAGTATCTCTGCAGTAGTAAACTAGCTGTTCGAACTCTTTTCATGATATTTATAGACAAACCTAATGAGTTTGAGACATTTCTATCGATTAATCTTATTTTATATTCTTACGTTTCTTCTTTGCTGATGGCTAAAAGTTCGTCATTATCAAATTCGTTTTGTTGTTCTCGAGCTTGTTGAATGATTTTTCTTGATAAACGATCATCAATAATCTAATTATAAATACAATTTATGTATTTATATATTTATTAAATAAAAAATTTTCTCAAAACAAACTTGTTCTTCTTCTTCATCATCGTCAAATTTTCGTTTTTGTTTTTGTCGATTTTTTGTATTCGTAACATTTCGATCTTGATTGATTTGATCCGTTAAACTACCAGGTGCTTGTACAGGATCACCATGACGCCGATTTTTTGAATGTCTATTCATGTTACGTTCTTTTTTACTCTAGAGATAAACAAAATATCATTGGAAAGTAATTTTATCTTTTCATCAAGGACAAATCAAATTAATAAAAAGCAAAAAAAAGAGAGAAAAATCACATTTCTATTGCAATAAAAAAAAACAAAAAATCTTTTATTCTCGTTTTGCTAATGTATTAAGTTGTTCACGAATTCGTGTAAAATTATCCAAAACAAGGTTAAGTGTTTCTTTTGATAATTCAATTTGAACAGACTTTTCATTTTCCCCAACTGATTTTGTTGGATCATTGATCTATTAAAGAACAAAAACCAGAAAAGAGCTCATTTGTTAATTAAGAAGAAAAAAATTTCTCTACAAACATCTAAAGAAAGAACACATGATGGTTGTTGAATACGTTGACCATTCGCACCTGGTAACAGTTTCATATCAATATACCAATTAAAATCTTTCAATTGAGGAAGCATCTTAAAAAAAAACATTTATTTTGAAAAAAATGATAATTAAAATCAATCGGAATTAATTTATTTTAATATTTGTTATACAAAAAATATCGAAATTAAAAACTTATTTTACATATTTACTATATTTAAGAAATTCTTTTTCAGTTACTAATTTAACATTGCATTGTGAAATAGAAATTATTTCATTTATATTATCATCCATAGCTAATTTAACATCCATACGATTCAGATCTTCATTAATGGATACAATTGTACCATATAAATTACAATATGAACCTTTTTCAATAAAAATAAAAGCTCCTTTTTCAAAATATAAATCATCATTATCATTAATACCAGCTTCTTTTATATTACGTTTTAATTTATTTATTTTTACTAATACTTCTCTATCTGCTCCTAAGCCAAGGCCACGAGGTCGTATTTCTGGATTAAATATATCTACTTGTTTTTTATTTGATTTACCAAGACCAATATTTTCATTATAACCCATACCACGTAGAGCAGCCATACCAAAATCTTCGATAGGTACTTGATTATAATCAGCATTTTCAATATTATCTTCTAATGTATTACGAAGATCTTGTTTTATAGTATCTACATGAATGGTTTCATTTTCAGTATTTGTTTTAGCTTCTTCAATATTAATTTCTTTTAAATTGTTATTTAAAATACTCATCATAGGATCTGACGGTAGAATAGTTTTACGATATATTTGTTTACATTTAATAATATCATGATGAGTATTAGGTTGAACAGGAATGGAACGTTCAGATGTGCATTTAGAAACATTACTAGGTTTTGTTGTATTACTATCAATACTGGAAACAAATTCTTGTGAAACATCATCAGATATTGTTGTTGGATCAAATTGAAAAGCAGATAATAAATTATGATTAATTTTCGAACGTTTTGAACCATTGATTTTAAATTCAATAGGAGAAATTCGAGACATATTAATGTGACCTCTACAACAAATACAAGTATTTATTATAAACAAACTAGAAATGACGAGTTCTTTTCCAGAAAGAAAGAACTAACTAATAAGAAATAGAAAGAATAAGATGAAGAATCGACTGCCGAAATAACTGAGTCATTGACATAAATGCTGATTTGCTTATTAATATTTAGCAAGCAATAAGTAACGCCACTTACCATGCGAATAACAAGAACGACATTTTAACCAATCAAAAATCTTTTTCTTGTATATATAGTATGATATTTATCATAATAAGGACAACGTTAGGCGTATGAAATACTGTTACTAATAACAAGTATACACACTATTTATTCGTTGCTCAGACATGTTGAAGGAGTTTACATTTAGATTTCAAAGTATATAAACAATTAAAGAAAAATGTGGTATCCTATGTACTTTTTAAAACTATGCACACAACTTGAAACATAAACATCCTTTCGAATACAAATATTTAGTGTAGAATTGATTGGAACTGTTTTATGAAAAAAAAACATGGTGACTATCATAAATCAAACTGTTTCATTATTAGATATAGCTTGCCTAAATAAGTTATAATCATTTAATAACGTAATCAATGAGAATGTATTAGACGACAATAATTGTCGCCGCCAGAAAAGTTGATCGTTATCAGTCTCTACTGATAACACCGGTCTATTTTCTGACTTGCGCCGAACAAGACTCTTTTCCTTTTAGTTTGTTGTCGTGTGTTCATTTGATATTCGAGATCTGACAAACTTAACAACTATTATTTAATAAGACGTACAAAATACTGTACACTGCGGGAAATGTTACAACTGTGTATCGATGACAATTGAAATACTTTAAGACTTGTTGTGAGGTCTGCGCAAATGAAGAAACTAGGAGTGATAGAAAACATCTTTCTCAAACACTCTTTTGATGGTTATATCATATAGATATTTTTAGTAGCACTTAATGCCTTTCGCTGAGACAGCAGCATTAGTAAGATGTGCTTTTCAACTTGTGAGAATAATTCGTATTCCTTCAAGACATGCAATATTTTTCTGAAGAATGAAGACCAAATTTCAATAGGTTTCACTACTGAATATGAATAACATAATGTGTTGATGTAGATGCTATCATTTTTATTCATTCAAGAAGGAGAAGGAGAAAATAAATGATCAATTATATACATTGAAACTTGATAGATATATTTCAATGCAAATGAAAGAAAAATATTGTTAGAACATTTTTTAACAAACATCGTTTAGTTTAAAATAAAAAGGTTTCTTTTTAATACTATACAGTCTTTCTAAATTCATTTTGAAAAGATAAAATATTTGAAATTTTAAGACTAGAAAAATACTTTCACCCTAACGAAGTGTATGTCTTATGTTTGTCATCCAATTTTTCATTGTTATAATTTATTTGTTCTTTATAACGTTGGCACTAGAAGAAATGTAGAGCAATGCAGATATTTTTTCAACAGGTAACAAGCCTTTAACTATTTATTACGCTATTATTATGCATAGGCATCTGCTTCTAAGCATCATAAAATATATTTACGACATATTTTTATTTCATCTATTTATTTTTGTGACTTTTTCATCACTGTGAGTGATTAGATTGCTCTTATTCTCAAACCTTTCTTCATAGGTCAATTAATTAAATACATCAATGTATAGTTGAGAACCCTTGGTCATATTATTATGATTGAATTCAATGAAATAACAACAACAATTTTTCAATCTTTGCTTTTTATATGAGATGATCCACATGAAAGAATAGAATGAATGAATGAATGTCATAAACACATTTATCCTGATTACGAATGGTTCTCTGTTTCAATGCTAAATAATTTTGAATATTTCATTTGAAATTTAAAAATAAATTACGACAATGAATCTATGACAAATATTGATATAGGGTTGTTTCATTCTAAATTTTCATATAACAGCTAATAGAGGTGTTGTACTATTCTTATTTTCAATATATATTACTATTATTATCAAAAAGCAATGGAGTGGCTGTGTTTTTGAATAACTCTACAATGGAAAGAAATAAAAACCTGAAGATTTTCACATATCGATAGCAAACACTCGACGGCATATTGACATACGAAAAAAATCTTCGAAGTAAATAGTCAACATTTATTTTTTTTGGAACTTTTCTGGAAAACCTTTGAATATCTTAGGTTTATCTTATAAAAACTCAGTGATTTTTTGCATGACTAATGTAGGTGTTGCTATTAATGCGAGAATGGGTCATCTTTTCACAAACATTAACACTCATCTGCACTCACAACATATACATCCATATCTCATATTACACCCAATCTAGTACAACTGTTATGGAGCATTTTTTATGTGTTTTTTCATCGGAGTCATGACAATGCTAAAAAATCGATCTTGACTAACTTTTCAAAGGAAAGGTATTAGACGGTAAAATTTTGGAGTTGATGGTTTCAGACATTGATTCTCTGAATGAACAAAACAATTAAAAAAAGATTTTTATCGAGTATCTCGTATAGTGGTCTGCTACGCGATGCTGTCGCGAATCATCTCTTAATACACTTATGAAGCTAATGAAAAGGCGTGTCTTCAAAGTTTCAGCTCCAATTGGACAGCACTAACGAGTTTTCTTTTGCTGCTGTTTACAGAAGAACCTAAACAGTGTGCTATTTCATATATAGTTAAATCTTGAAAGCTGTACTATGACTGTGGAACACATTTTCGGATAATAATGAACTCCAGTCCGTGTCCAAGTATAAGAGGGTCGGGTTTGGGCCGTAAAAATCATACTCTCGAAGGACACTAGTCTGAAGTGTCTGAGGTACACCTTTTCACAATAGAGAACGTAAAGTCGCTTTTATTGGTGTAGATATGCCAATATGAGCACAAAGAGGGTTTAGACTTTGCTAAAACAGCTGCCGCATCATGCACTAAAAAGTGACATAATACAAAATTTTAAAAGTTCCATATTTGTGTAGAGTTTTCTTTTCTAAATTCTATAAACTGGCAATAGTAGCCTGTCTTCGTGGTTGTGTTTGGATTTGCTATGGTTGACTAGCAGACCTGCAGACACTTACATCAAAAGCCATGCTAACAAGGGTGGGATCTGTGCGTTGATGTATGTGGGGGTGAGAGTAGGGGTGGAAATGTAGATATGGATGCAGGAAAGAATCAATTCTACAGCCTACACCCACGCACTCGCTCATCTGCTTGCACATATAAGACATTTATCAACCATCTACATGAATAAACGGTATGTCCGTCTCTCTCTCTCTCTTGGTTTGTTCTTTAATAACTTATTCACACATACATCTTCTCGTCTTTTTTTCTATATGCTACAACAAGAATTCTTAAAACCGTACTTGTACTCTCTTCGAGTTCATGGTAGTCTTCCAAAATCATTGCTCGCATGTATGTGAATAGTGAGTCAAGTGACGGAGAGGAAGAGTAGAGAAGGGAAAAAAGAAGAGTAATAAGCCATTACTGACTGATGACAGCTTGCTTACTTCCTTGTATGAGCTGTAGCTTATGCACCGCGATGTGCACAAGATAAATATTTAAAGTGAAAGCCATGACTTCGAAACTGAAGAATGCCAAATGAAATGTCTACTTCTTGTCTGAAATTGATGCTATCAAGCAAAGCCATTCACATCTGTCAGTCATAAAAAAGAAAGAAAAGAGAGTAGATCTTGTACTTCATGTTAGTTCTCCACCAAACAATGTGAGCAGAGCCGTCTATCAACCTAATGTATTTCTCAATGGTCAGAATCTCAATAGACTATGGTCCTTTGGCTTCCTATAACTCGTCGATCATCTTTTATTCCAGGTGTACAAAGACTATATTATAATACGTATCCACGAATGGCTGGTGTCGCAATTTATGCCAATATTTTTTCGAACCAATTTGATAGCATGTGTTTCATTATGCACAATATGAACAAGGACAAGTTCTACCAATATGGATTTGACGAGTACAATCTCGCATCGGATCAGCTTCTCTTTCATCCAGGTCCGAGCAAAACATCGCTTACGAAACACTTTTCACGAAGCGTAAAGACGTTTAGCTTAAACAATGAAAATACCATAGTATGTGAATAGCTGCCTGCATTCGTTTCATTGTCCCATTCGCAGACACTTACGACATTAATGCTATTTTGTTTACTACAGCTGGGCTAAACGTGCTAGGACCCACGACGGATACTCATCTGTTTATCAACAATGTCGAGTGACGTTCGCTGTGGCCAACACGAAACATTGGTCTATTTGTGTTCAATAATGTCTATTTAAACGAAGAAGATTATATACAATTCGAAATCGGATACTGAGAGAACAAAAACTACTATGTCGATGGCGTTCTTGCTTGATTTGACAATGTTGTTCCTCTGTCACGTACACGCGCTAGGAAGAAAAAATGAAAATCAATAATAATAATTGTTGAATAGTTCACAGTTGAATATAATAATCACAATGGGCACTAAATAACTTCCGGATGCGTTGACTCACAGACCACGTTAGTCTACAGACTACTCCTTCTTGCACTATTATTTTCTCTACATAGGACAAACAAGGAAATAATCACATATACATATTCACACATGACAGAGAGAAAGAAAAGACAAGATGAGATATAGGGGCAGACAGATGTAGGAGATAAAAGAAAAGAAAGGCAGTGGATCGAAGGTAGCGCCACTATTTAATATCTCCGCTCTTGATACCACCGACCAGCTTTATCTGTTCATGAAATTATAACAACAGACAAACAAACAAAAAGAAAGAAAGTGAAACAAAACAAACATAAAGTATGATAACACCGAAAATAACAATAAACAATATGGTGAGGTAATCTTGAGGATGAGCCAAGCAGACCATGATACTTTTCAACTTCGTTTAAGTGCCCCATAAGATGTAGTACAAACGTCTCATCCCGATAGTTCGTATGTTGATTCCTCTAGAGGGTATGAGTGTGGATACGCAGTGCGGATGTGGGTAATGACCAAGAGAAGACCAACACCCAAATCCACATCTATCCCCCACGCACATATACATTCACGCCCTAACTATGCAGAAAAGTGTGGATTTCTGAATAGGGTACACCAAATCAGTTGCTAACGAGACAGCAGATTTGTGACTATATTCGACAAAGTCTTTTGTTTGTATGTGTCAATTATTCGTCCGAGGAAATCAGAAAACAACTGCTTTCTAGAGATCGAAAACTGTGTCGTTGTTGAGAAAGAATATTGAATCAGGCGATGTCGTGAGTGCGAAGTCCGAATCGATGTAGAACTTTGGGAAGAGGTCAGTTTCAACAAAAAAGCATTGTTATCTGTGTGACGGGTTGAAAATGGTCGCCTAGACGGCGTTGACAACTAACATGAATACACTAATCGACGATCTTGCCCTATTCTTTCCAGGTTCTTGTTTTTCTTTACTTTCAGACAAGATTCCTGTATTCAGGCAAGATTCTTTTCGACAGGAAAGTAAAAAGAATCTTGTCTGAATTTCAAGATGACAAGAATCTCGTCTGATTAATCAGAAATAAAAGAATCAGGCAAGAATTATAAGATATTCAAGATACATTTAACGTTCAGACAAGATTCTTGTTAAAAGAAAAGATAAAGAATCTTGTCTGAAGTTCAAGATCAAAAGAATCTTGCCTGAAAATTATGAAAAAACAGAAACTGGAAAGAAATATAAGATATTTTAAATTTCTTAGTATTCAGACAAGATTCTTATGATAGAAAAGAAAAAGATTCTTGCCAGCTTTTCAAGATCAACAGCACGTGATGTCGTCTTTGTATGATCAAATATATAAAGGCAATGTCTGAACGTTATTTATTCATTATTTCAATTGGATGTATAGAAAAAGTTTCCATTCGATATCGAGAAAACAGTGGAATATATGATATCTTTTTTTCCTTTGTTTTCAGAAAACTTACATTTATTAAACACATTTCGATATTTTACCAATCCACATCTTTCTATTTTATTTTTTTTAGATTTTCTTTCATTATCCACAAAAGTGTTTTTTTAATGGACGAAGGAAATATCGATTTTATCAAAAAATTATTGTTTGATAATGTTCTTGGTAGTATAGGTAATATCTATATGCACTTTATATCTTTTTGATTAAAATACTATCTTTTTTAGAGTCATCACCACATACAGATAAACAACGTCGATGGCGTGCTAAGAAAAAAGATCAACATCATCGTACTCAATTATCTCTACATCATTTACTAGTTGAACAAATTGTAAATAACTTATTTTAATCGAGCTAGCTCAACACACAACGATGATGAAGTTTGAAAAAATAAGTATTTTTTTTGATAATTAAAATTTTGTTTTTTTTTGTATTAAAAACTGAAACTGCTTTAATAACATGTGAAATTAAAAGTATTTTTTTGTTTTTTTTTTTACATTTTTTTGTACATGGTGTGCAAAGCTTATAATAAAATGATATGAAAAAGAGAGTAATAAGAACCTACAAAAGGCTTTTTTAATGTGACCAGAATCAGGCAAGAAACACAAGAAATAAGAAACAGACAAGAATCTTAGAAAAAAAGAATCAGGCAAGAACATCAAGAAAAATAAGAATCAGACAAGAATTCAAGAAAAGCAAGAATCAGACAAGAAAGCAAGAATACAAGAATCTTGTCTGGAGAAGAACTTCTTGCCTCACCAGCCAAGATTCGGTCTACACGAATCTTGTCAGAAAGGCAAGATCAGTTTTTTCAGGCAAGAATCTTGTATAGAAGGAATGGAAAAAGAATCTTGTCTGAAAACCAAGAAAAACAAGAACCTGGAAAGAATAGGGCAAGATCGTCGACTAGTGTATTGGTTTGGCGGAATGAGATGAGAGTATTTCGAAAAAGTTTTAAGATAAGTGAAAAATAGTGTCGAATAAGAGAAGACCATGTCATTATCAGAATGGAGTCGATAACTGACTTGAAAGAGATGTAATACATTCTTTATGGAAGGACTTGTGCTGACTTGGAGTAAAAATATTATTCTTTATAATAGAACTTGATGAAATTTAATCGTTAATGGCGACGTTGAGTAGAAGAGTGATATTTAGGTTAGTTACCATTTGTAATTTGCAGAATATTGTAGGTATACAGGCAACATCACCCCAAAAAATGATCTTGTCTTTAAGCAACGGAACCATATTCAAGATTTCTAGATCAGGGAACAATATAGTGGAATCATCGAAGGAAAAAAGAACAATAGTACTCGACTTGTGATATAATGGAGCCTGTTGTTAATTCATGATTACGTTTTATGACAAGTAATACAAAAGATTTGGATCCTTATCATTCCATTCTTTTTCATTTACTGCTCTGAAACGACACTTTAATCAATTTCGATGATTCGCATGGCAAAACTAATATGTCAAATGCATAAACTCCATTCCTGAACCGATAGATCTGTCCTAGAAAGATGTGTAATGTTGCAGAAGTTTGAAATTTTAAAGAAAAGTCCGAAAAATTCGCTTGAAATATTTGCGTATCTGTTTAGTTTATATCTTATGAATGACATTTCCAGTGTAGCAATGGGCTCTCAGCTGAGCTTCTTTTTTCTGGTTGAATAAGTGCTTCACAGAAAGTTTGCATCCATGTGAAGTATTTCTCAAGAGACTGACTATGTGCAAACACAATCGAAACGCTAAAATTTACAGGCTACTTTTTTTTCTAAGGAATTAGTGGCATCTTTTTTATTGATGTTAAAATTTCAATAATTGAGTGAAAAAAACTGAAAAATTGAGCATTAGAAAAGTTCATATATCTACACAATTATTAGAGAATTTCAAAGGCAACCAAGGGATGAATTCCATCTTGAAATCTACAGATTTATTTATAGGAGAAAAATGTAAATTAGTAAAGGCAATGTGTTTGATTTAAGTACACTTGATGGAATATGTTTTTTTTTAAATCAAGAATTTAATATGTCTGTGCTGAGGTATTTAATAAAATACTCGATTTAACAATCATTTTGACAAGCCTAATATGTTACAAAACAAGTAAAAAAATCGTTCGAAAAGTTACATATCTTTTTAATAGAATCTAGTCTATAAGCGACATCTCATTAGTTTGAGTTGTGGAGAAAAAAAAGATGAAAGATTAGAACATTGTCTTTTATTTGCTAAATTTTCATATGTATAATGTCAAGTTAAATTGATTTTTTCATAATTAGCGATATCGTTTCGGAAAATCGGATTGATTTTTAAAACGACCAATAGAAAATTGATTAAAAGACCAGTAACATATTAGAAAAAAAAGATACGCTCTACATCTATAATTAAGATTGTTTTCTGTCCGATTTTTTTCAAATCATCGCATCATGTTTAAAAATTTAAAAGAAAAATTAGCAAATCAAGTTACTAAAACAAATCAAACTCTGTTACCGGGCATTTCATCATCAGATTCAGTATGTTAGGAAGAATATTCACAATTAAATTTATTCTCTTTATTTCAAATTAGGCGTCTATAGCAAGAGATTCTGATACTCGAACGTCTTCCATTACTAGTCGAGATGAAAATTCTGTAAGAAAAAGTTTATTTATTTTGAAATGTCTATTTCATAATTTCGTTTTTTTTAATGAAGGAAAACAATCGTTCTCGATTAGATTCAGCTTCAAGTGATATCAGTCAATTCAGTATTGGTCAGAGTCCTAACGCTAGTATAACTTATGTATCACCACAACGTATTCATATGCTACCATCAGATATTGAATCTGAATATGGTGGTGATGGTGGTGATGAAAGTGATCATGAAAGCAATACTGTAATTTAATTAAAATATTTAAAAAAATTCTTTTTTCTTGAATTCTTAGTGATTCTAGAAAATGATAAAAATGCAAAAATTACTTTCTATTTATAAGAATAAATTTAATCAATTAAAAAATGCTTATGATGAAGTTGAACGAGAAAAAGAACATATTAAAGTATGTAAAACTAAATAAGTATTTTTTTCAATCATATGTTGTTTTTTTTTTTTGTTATCAGAATATTTTACAAAAGCATCAAGATACATCAATAAAACGACTTTCAGAATTACGAGAACAGATTAAACTTGATCGACAAGCTAAAGAACAACTTGAATGTTTGCATCAAAAAGAAATAAGAAAACGAGAAAATAGAATTGAAGAACTTACATTAAAAGTTAGATGATTGATTTTTGTAATATATGTATAAAACATTTAGTTTGTGTTTAGCTTACTGCACAACAAGATCTCATTCAATTACCTAATGAAACAGATCATGAAGAAATGCAAACACTTCGTGAAAAGGTTCGATTTTATTTTTTATTTATAAAGAATAATTGGTAATGATTTGATAGTTTAACACTGATTCGTTGTTCTCTTATTCTTTACATCATGGGATAGTATTCGAAATTTGAAGAAGTTTCTTTTTTCATTCAAATGTTTTTCATTGCATTGCTTAGTCATAGTGATCTGACCAGAAAAAAAGTTGTAAGAAAGTGAAGACTTCTGACAATGATTCTAGAGAGGATTCAAACTCTTAAATATCCTAAAAAGAGTTCGTGTCGTCAGTTTATTGCTACAGAGGTACTGCATTGTTACAATATTTTTTAAATGAATGCTGTAGTAACAGTGAAACTGATTTTCAAATTTCGACTTGAAACTTTGCATAGATATTCATCTTCATGAGAACAATTTATTATGAAGGTTTCAGGTTTTGTCGTTATTCCTATCATAGGATACAATTGTAGTAACAACGCGTCTTCTACATCGCTCGTATCAACCGGTAAATTTCATGTTCTTATTTCAGAATAGAAGCAAATCAAAAGATCTGAATCTGTTGCGTTAAACTACTCACGTTAAGGACTGTCTCTATGTAAATTTTCAAGTCAAAATTTTACAAGTAGTTTTTCTCATATTCTTAATGATTGAGTTCGATGGGCTGCACTTGAACGGTAAAGTATCCATAGCTTTTGGGAATCTACATAATGCGTATACTCTTGACTTAAAAAAGATTTATAAGTTGGAGAATTTTCCGATAAGCAAGTTTAAAGAAAATCATTTCTATTGTTCATTTCAACGAGAAAATATATTCAGCGAAGTCTAACTTCTATAATAATTTTAGAATTTTATTTTAGAATTCCAAACTTGAAGCGTTACTTAATCAACGTAACGATGTTATAAAAACTCATCAAGACAAACAAGTTGAATTAGTAAAACAATGTGATGATCTTTTTCAAAAATTAAATGAAAAACAATCTGTCATTGATTCTATGATGAAAGTAAATTTTTTTTAAATTATTATCTTTTACCATTTATCTAAAAAGAAAGATAAGACTATACACCCAAACACATAAGAGAAACTAAAGAGATATGTTCTCGACATATATATATTTATAGGCAACTGCAAAAGGAGAAGATCATTTCAGTTTGAAGCATTTTGTAAGGAATATTCTGGTGAGTGGGTTAAATAACACAATAACAATATTAGCTCGCGAAAATTTACCTTTTAATGCATCTTGCATGCTACTTTATATTGTATGTCTTGTACTTGTGCATTAAATTTCTATAGAAATATCATAGTTAGCTTTATAGTTTATTTTTTGTTTTCTTTATATTTTTTACTTGAATAGAATTGATAGTGCTCAATATTAATTTACATTAAAATAGAGATAAAAATTTTTATTTTGAGGATCGTCATCCAGACGGAATATCAGCAACATCAATGGAAGTTCAAGAACATTTCGATTCAGATATAAGTGTTTTATTACAAGATAAACAACGCTTACAAGAAAAATTAGAATCATCAAATCTTTGTGTTCGACAACTTGAACATGAACTTGATACAATAAAACAAAAAATTAAAATCGATGAAGATATTAAACAAAAATATGATAATTTATTAATTAAATTTAATGAAAAATCAGATTATATTGAACAATTAATTAATGATAAAACAAGACTTGAAATAACAAATGAAGAATTTCAAAAACAAATTCAAACATTTCAACAAGATATAAATCAATATGCAGATGTTAATCTTATTTTATCAAATCAAAAAATGAATATTTCAGACTTAACTGAAGAATTAGATCATTTACGAGAAAAAATAAAAGATATTGAAAATATTCTTCCATCTAATGAATCAACAGATTTATTTGAAAGGATTCAACAGCTAATTAATGATCGTCAAACTGTTTCTCAAGAAATTTATTACGAACAATATTTGAAAACTAATGATCATCTTAAAAATGAATATGAAAATCAAATTAATCAATTACAACAAACAAAACAACAAGTTTTAGGTTAGATAAAGTTTTTTAAACATTAATAACCATAGAATACACTAAACATTTTAATACGAATGAATGCTTTCTTTCGGAAAACGACAGAACCAAGTAAGGTAAGTGCAAAAAGTTCGCGACATTCTCTTGTCGATATTAATAGAAAAATTTCAAAGAACTTTTTTTCATATAATATACCAAAATATGCAGCGTGAAAAGCCCTACAATTTGCATAAGACCGCTTTTTTTTACAGTTGCACTTTGTTTTCAAAATCGTCAAAACTTCGGGCGACCAAATTTCGACGCTGCGAAAAGATAACACGAATGAGAAATTATCTTTTTGCTTATTTCATCTTTTCATCACCTGTATATATTGTAGAGCTTTCCATGCTGCATCTTGTGGTATATTTTGTTTTTTTTTACGAAAACATATTATGAGATGAAATGATGAAATAAGAAAAAAGAAATGTCTTTTCATGTTATCTGTTCGTAGCGTCGAAAATTGATCGCACAGAATTTTGGGTTTTTTTTCTATACAAAAAGTAGACAATTAAAATAAGCTTTCCTTGGTGGACTGTAGAGCTTCTTACGCTGCATCTTTTGGTGCATTTTGTTTTTTTTTAAATAAAAGATATGAAGTGATCAAAAGATGAAATAAATCCATCTCGTGCCGAAAAAAAACATCGTTTTCACACGGTCGAAATTTGATCGCATGAAGTTTTGACGATTTTGAAAACAAAAAGTGCAACTGTAAAAAAGCAGTCTTACGCAAATTGTAGAGCTTTTCACGCTGCATCGTTTGGTATATTATATGAAAAAAAGTTCTTTGAAATTTTTCTATTGATATCGATAAGAAAATGTCGCAAACTTTTTGCACATACCTTATTTTTCACAGAAAACGTTTCATGTGATGATTTATTGGTTAATAACAGAAATTATTGAGAAAAATTCAGATAAAAATGCCTTCTTTCAATCATCTAATGTTGGCTAATAAGTCGAAGAGAAGATATTGAAAATGAATGCATCAGATTCTTTGAACAAGGTGAGACTTAAGAGCTATTTGGATATTATTTCAGCAATACTACCTAGTATTCAGTTTAAAAAGACCAACTATTTAGATAGAAATAATGAATTTTCCAGCCAATCGCTTCTGATGTCCATTGAAAACTTTGTTCCCATACAGATTGTGCTAGAACATAACAAAGACCTCAGCCTCTTGTAGACTTGAAAAGTAAGACTCAGAGAATCTCTATATGAATCTGGTTAGAAAGACTCCATTTCAAGCGTTATGCAGAGAGAAAAATAACAATGCGAGTTGACATGAAATTTGATTTGGTGACAAATCCAAATAATGACATCTGTATACCTCTATAGAGATATCAGAGTTATTAGGCATTAAAGTAATAATCCAGCTCTTTTAGAAAATGTACTGATTCACGAAGGACCTGTTCCAACTAACATCGACCGTTTGAGTTCATGTTAAACCCAGAAAGAGGTGTTGATAGAACTAATAAAAATCTTAAAAAGTTCGTCCCCATACATCTTTGTTCCCAAGTTATGATCAGTTGAGTGAATCGTCCCAAAACAATCAAATGACAAAATTTTCAATTTGAAGTTTTCGGTGGAATAGAACGTTCCTTATTTCACGTATTGGGTTTTCTAAAAAGCCCTCCGGCACAAACATTTCATCAAAATTGACTTCACTTAAGAACTCAATAACTCGACAAAGAAGCGTTCGGAATACTCTAAGAGTCAATATATGTGTCTACGGGCAAAAATTGACTTGATGTCACTGATTTCTGAACAGTTCCTTTCGAAGCAAGAGATCATTTAATTAATTAGAAAAAAAAACTGTAGTTCTGCAGTTATTATCATTTATAAAATAATTAGTTGTTCTTGTCATAGTTTGTCGCCAGGAATCAAAATTTAATCGAATAATTTGTGTACAAAAATTTTGAATAGAAATTTTTACAATTAACATTTCGTAAGAGCTTATGAACACGTATTCAATCTTGAATCAGTGTTTTATTCAAGTTTTCTTGATGTGAACAGACGATTCACATCTTCGAAAAGGCAAACAACAATTTTTGCAGACGACCGGCATATAGTTTGTGGTATAAAACTTACAAACTCCGGAAAGATCAATTTCGTCTTTAAAGGGACGACACTTACCCTGACAACTGTACTGAATAAAATACTTATGATTTTCTGCGAACCTTTTAATTTAATGTTTGAATTTTATTGAGTTAAGATATTAGTTATTTCCTATTTTCTTAGTATTAATCTCAGTACTATATCTTTGTTTTCCTTCTAGATGACGAAGTTAATCAACTTAGAACTTCTCTCACAAAATTACAACAAGAATATGATGAATCTTTTATTAATTGTGCTCAATTAAAACAAACACTTGAAAATCAACGGCAAGAACATTTAGAGCAAACTGCAACACTTATCAATGAAAAACAAAATGAATTTGATATCAATATCCAACAATTACGAGAAGAAAATAATCATCTTAAATCTCAAATTCACGAAATTGAAACATTAAAAAATTCATCATTTCAAACTATACAAGATGAACATCGAAAATCTATTGAAAATCTAAACGCACAAATTGATCAACAACAAATAGAAATCAATCAACTAAAACTACAATTAAATCAATACGAAAATGAATCTAAACAAAAAACTATTCATATTGAACAACTAGAAAATGATTTCGAAAATCTCAAATCAACACAAAATGAATTAACTAAATTACAAGAAGAATTTAATCTTATAACCAAACAATTACAAGATAATATACAACAACTTGAAGAAAAACAAAATGAAATCATACAACTTAATTCTACTATGAATGATATCAAAGCAATAAACGCAACCATCATCCAAGAAAGTGAACAGATTAAAAAACAATTTGAAGATACACAAAATGAAGTTAATCAACTGACTACTACTATAAACCAACGACAAGAAACTAATCTAACATTAAATAGTAAATGTGAACAATATGAGAAATTAATTGAAGATAAACAAAATGAAATTGATCGTCTTACTCTGATTACAGATCAAATGAAAGAAAAAAATTCTAAAACAACTGAAGACTTTGAACAAATCAGAAAACAATTCGACGATAAACAAAATGAAGTCAATCGTCTTATGACTGTTATCAATGAAATAAAAGCAATCAATATCGAACTGAATAATAAATATAAACATATTGAAAACGAACTTCATGAAAAACAAAATGAAATTAATAATCTTCAATCTACAACTAATGAATTAAAACAAACTAATACAACAACTAATAAAGACTATGAACAAATTCAAAGTCAACTTAATGAAAAAGAAAATAAAATTACTCGTCTTAGTACAATCATTGATGAATTCAAGGCTAGATATAAATTAAACATAGAACAACATACACAAATTAAAAAAGAATTTGAAGATAAACAAAATGAAGTTCTTCATTTAACGAATCTTATTGATGAAATGAAAGCAACGAATGTCAAAACTAATGCACAATTCGACAATGAACTTAAAGATAAAGAAAATACAATTACTCAACTTACAACAACTATTAATCAATTACAAGAAACTAATCTTACATTAAATGATAAATGTCAACAATATGAAAAACTTCTTGAAGATAAACAAAATCAAATTGATCATTTCACTAGCATTACTGATGAAATGAAAGAGAAAAATTCAACAATAACCGAAGACTTTGAACAAGTTAAAAAAGAGTTTGAAGATAAACAAAATGAAATTAATCATCTTACAACTGTTATCAGTGAAATGAAAGTAACGAGTGTCGAACTCAATAAACAATTTGATAATGATCTTAAAGATAAAGAAAATATAATTAATCAATTTACAACAACTATTAATCAATTGGAAGAAACTAATCTTACATTAAATAATAAATGTCAACAATATGAAAAACTCTTTGAAGATAAACAAAATGAATTTAATCAGTTAACTATATTAAATGATGAAATAAAAACTAAACATTCAATAATTATGGACGAATATAAAGAAGTTAACAAGCAACTTGACGACAAACAGATTACAATTACTCAACTTACAACAACTATTAATCAATTACAAGAAGCTAATTTAACGCTAAATAATAAATGTCAACAATATGAAAAACTCCTTGAAGATAAACAAAATCAAATTGATCATTCCACTAGAATTACTGATGAAATGAAAGAGAAAAATTCAACAATAACCGAAGACTTTGAGCAAGTTAAAAAAGAGTTTGAAGATAAACAAAATGAAATTAATCATCTTACAACTGTTATCAATGAAATGAAAGTAACGAGTGTCGAACTCAATAACCAATTTGATAATGATCTTAAAGATAAAGAAAATACAATTAATCAATTTAGAACAACTATTAATCAATTACAAGAAACTAATCTTACATTAAATAATAAATGTCAACAATATGCAAAACTTCTTGAAGATAAACAAAATGAATTTAATCAGTTAACTATATTAAATGATGAAATAAAAACTAAAAATTCAATAATTATGGACGAATATAAAGAAATTAACAAGCAACTTGACGACAAACAGATTACTATTACTCAACTTACAACAACTATTAATGAATTACAAGAAGCTAATTTAACGCTAAATAATAAATGTCAACAATATGAAAAACTCCTTGAAGATAAACAAAATCAAATTAATCATTTCACTAGAATTACTGATGAAATGAAAGAGAAAAATTCAAAAGTAACTGAAGACTTTGAACAAGTTAAAAAACAGCTTGAAGATAAACAAAATGAAGTTATTCGTCTTACGACTGTGGTCGATGAAATAAAAGCAGCAAATGTCGAACTCAAAAAACAGATTGAAAATGAGCTCGAGAATAAACATCATGAAATTGTTAAACTCAATGCGACAATTAATGAAACAAATACAAAAACCAATGAAGAACAACAGCTAATTAAAAATCTGCTTCATGATAAACAAAATGAAATTAATCAACTAAATACTACTATAAATCAACTACAAGAATCTAATCTGATGTCAAATAATAAATGTGAACAATTTGAAAAACTAATTGAAGATAAACAAAATCAAATTGATCATTTCACTAGCATTACTAATGAAATAAAAGAAAACAATTCAAAAATAAATGAAAATCTTGAACAAAGTAAAAAACAGCTTGAAGATAAACAAAATGAAATTAATCATCTTACAACTGTTATCAATGAAATGAAAGTAACGAATGTCGAACTCAATAAACAATTCGATAATGACCTTAAAGATAAAGAAAATACAATTAATCAATTTACAACAACTATTAATCAATTGCAAGAAACTAATCTTACATTAAATAATAAATGTCAACAATATGAAAAACTCTTTGAAGATAAACAAAATGAATTTAATCAGTTAACTATATTAAATGATGAAATAAAAACTAAAAATTCAACACTTATTAACGAACATGAACAAGTTCAAGGGCAACTTAAAGAAAGTGAAAACAAAATAATTGGACTTAAACAAACAATAGATAATATGAATATAAACTATTCAAAAATCATCAACGAACATGAACAAGTTAACAAACAACTCGAAGAAAAGCAAAAAGAAATTGTTCAACTTACTGCTATTATAAGCCAATTAAAAGAAACTAATCTAACAATTGATGAGAAATATGAACATATAAAAAAAGAACTTGACGAAAAACAAAATGAAATCATTCAACTAAAAAATAATCTTGATGAAATTAAAAGAACAAATGTAACAATGTCGGATCAATGTGAAGAATTAAAACAAACTATTGAAGCATTCGAAGAATCACAAATTACTGATCGACAATTACTAGAACAGACAAAAATAGAGGTATAAATGTTTTCTAAAAAACTCCTTCTTTTTTCAAGACAAAAAAGACTTAGATAAAAATACGACTGTCTCCTTTCTGGTACAGATCAAAGTTCTCCAATGAGGTTACTCTCAGAGCTGTGCGAAACAGTCTTGAATTCTAAAAGATCCCATTTGTTTCGTCCCACGGCACATTCAGGATTCGAAATCAGAAAGCACTTTGTCCCTTAGTTAGTTCATAAAAATTCATCTCACGAGGAAATTTGTGAATTCAGTTCCTCACTTATGTGTCTAATTGATTTCTGAAGAGATTTTAATAAGATATTTTGTTAACTGAATATACATCTGATATTTACTTTATTGATGGAAATATGAGCAATAACAGTCAAAAATCTAACATGAAAAGAAATGATTACTAAATAGTATGTTTTGTACACTCTGAACACTTGGTAGTAAGTTTCATACTAGTTTGAATACCATCCGTATATTGTTTAAGATGAAATTGAAGCATTAAAAGGTGTGGATTGATAGGAAGAATACGTCTGCCTTTCAACTATCTTATGGTACTGGGTGCTGCCTCATAACATATTTCAATAGCCCAGAATCGTCTCAACAGCTATGACTAACTGTAGCTCTTCACAAAACGTAGTCAGCATGCTATCGGGTGGAAAATCCGAGACAAATAGCCGTTGTTGACATGTCCAGATTCATTCCATGGCTGGTAGTACTGAGATTTGCACACAGTATTTTGTGAATACATGTCGAACAATGTAATCACTTGATCGTGACTGCTTACGTGGTCTGATAGGTTTCCTATACACTCATATCTAGTATATATTAATAGAATAATCAAGTCGATAACTGAATATTAATTGCAACTAGTTAAAGACAAGTGTGAAGCGACGATTTCGGAAATGACATTTTTTTTCTGAAGATTTCAATGGGAAGACTTTATTTGAGGCATATAGAGTTCTAGTCGAGACACTGCTCTCCAAAGTCCCTATAAGTTAGAAAATATGTTAAGGAGCCCATTACCTATATTGTTCTATAAAAATTCATCTCGATTTATCGAACTATCTGCTCTTTTTTTTTCTGAAGAGTTCATCATCATGGTACTCACTCCTTACATAATGATATTATTAATTAATCAAATTTCTTTCTTGTTCTCTTGTACAGATCGAAACGCTCAAACAAAATCTTGTCGATGAACAATCCAATTGCAATTCTTTAAAACAGGCACAACAATCATGTATCGAACGATTAACGATAGAGCATCAACAAATACTTGAAAATTTAAAATCTGAATATCTTTCAAGGATTCATGAAAAAAGTGAAGAAATTGATTCTCATCAAGATACGATTGAAAATTTACGAAAAGAACTTCATGAATATGAAAAAAAATTTTTACAACAAAATTCTGAACTTGATCATTTACTTGATGAACAAAATCATCAATCACAAATAATAATACGTTTGAAAAATATACTCGGTGTTAATACAACTAATCATGATGAACTTCTTGAACATTTTGTACATAAAATGGAACAATATCAATTATTAATAACTGAATCTGAACGTTTAAATAATGATTTAATTAAACAAAAATCTGAACAAATAAATATTCATAATGAATTACAACAATTAGAACAACAATATGATGATATTAAAGATGAATTAAATAAAACAAAACAAGAATTAATAACCAATAAAAATAAATATGAAAATCAACTAAATCAAGTAAATGAATCCTATGAACAATTACAAAAAAATAAACATTCAGTTGATATTCAACTTGAAAATATTCAACGTCAATTTATTGATAAAACTAAACAATATGAACAACTTGAAATAAAATTAAATAAGTCATTAATTGAAAAAGATGAACAAATATCTCAGTGTCAAGAAAATTTTAATCAACAAGAAATTCTTAATAATGAACTTCGTCGTGAATTAAATGACTTAAATGATGAATTAAAATCTAAAACAAATGAAATTTCTTCATTACAAACAAATCTTAATAAAATTCAACAAACATTACAAACAAAAATTAATGATATTGAACAACTTTCCCAAGAAAGAATTTCTTTAACAGAAAATAATAATCAAAAAGAACAACTTTTATTCGAACAAAAACAATTAACTGAAGTACATACAGCATTAGAAGAAAAATTTAATAACCTTTTATCAGAAAAAGCTGGATTAGAAAATCAATTAGATACAATTAGAGTACAAATGCAAACAACAGAAACAACTATGAATAAAAGAAAACAAGAAAATTTGAATAAACTTGAACAAGCTGAAAAGAAAATTAAAGAACTTCAGGTATTAAGTAATACTTGCCATTCAAGTTCATACTGGATCCATAGACAGGTCTCGTCAGACTAGCTAAAACCTAAAAGGATTCGTTCTCGTAAGCACCTGGCATCGAACACATAACAGAGTTTTGTGCAAAATTTTGAGTATAGTTAGGTCTAATGACTATTAGAATCTCCGGACAGATCCAGTCGAAAAGTATGTTTCTTCGTCAAGTCATTAAATTTATACATGAACTCGATTTTTGTGACAAAAGACTTTTTTTTTTGGAATTCAATATCTTGACGACAAAACATTCTTTTCGGCTAAAACTTTCAGAAGATTCTACGAGTCTTTAGACCTATATGTAGACCAAGTGTTAGGTCGAAATTTTGCTATTTGATTTTCTAGGAACTAATCACTAAACTGGTCATCACTTTGTGATAAAGACTCATAGAGACGAACTCATTTAGGTTTTTGCTAGTCTCATTGATATCTACCAGTGGTTCCAATATGAGTTCAAACGGTGGATTGTACCGGAGACAGTTCCCTCGTGAAATTATGATTACTATATGCTCTTTAACCGCCACCTTGTTTGCAAACGGGAAGCATTCAGGACAATTGCCTCCCTCCTAAAAGATTTTTTAAATTTTTCTCAGCAGAAAATGCCTGAAAGTGAACCCATACCACTTTCAAAAGACGTTTTGTGACGATGATTGGCTCCCTTTCCGCAATTCTCTGGATCCGTCATTGCTACGATAGAAAAAAAAAAAATTTTCCATTAAAATGTAATTCTCCAATCATAGCATTTTTTCAACCAAAATATCCACAGTACAATGTTTTTATCAATGGTTTACTTCCAGAACAAACTTATAAGATATGCCTATTTCGATTAAATAATAACTAATATTTAGCTTTTACTCAAACAAAAATTAAAACAACAACAAAACGTTTTTTAAAACGTTTGCAAACAATTGAAATCAACAGGAAAAATTCAAGCTTGAAACCTTCAGCACTGTAGCACCTTTTATTATTGAATCTTATTAATGGTGTTCATATAGTTTTAGAAAATAAGATAAAAAACAAATTGAGGTTATGGTATTCAAAATTAATTTTTTCTCTTAATATATAAAAAATATTTTGAAGTTAGATCAATAATTTTCAAGGTCGAAGAATTCGAATCTACAAATAATTGGTCGATATTCTCGAGTTCAGTTTTTCTGTTATGAGAAGTCCATTTCTCGAGATTCAACCAGATTTCATTAACGTTTATCTGTTATTTTCGAAGACTTTCGATCAAACTTGATACGAATTCACTATTTTCGAAAAATAGTCTTAATTTGATTGGAAAAAAATACACGAATTGGAATTATTAGTCTGATCTTACCTATCATTTGAATTTCTATTTTATTTTCCACAACTATATGAGCATTTCAGCACCTTTTCGGCACTTTATGATAAAATATGATGCACAGATGCTGCATTTATCTCCTTCGTGAAGACTGTAATTAATTGTTCAATGTATTTGTCACAGCAAATAATTTATTCACCATTATATAAACAGTCAAATAAATTGAAAAATACCATTTACCCTAAAAAGTTTAGTCTACTTGATTCGAGTCAAAAACAAGACGAGCTGGTATATGATATGCATACATATTATAAATTGAATACCTTTTGAATTGAAAAAATGTAATTGTGACTAATTCTGACTAATATAATTGAAATCGATTATTTGATTTAGACTGAAGGGGATTCTGTTCGATCAGAAATCGAAACATTACGTAATCAAATTGATTCATTAAGAAATACTAATGAAGAAAATATTCGTCGTATAACTGAATTCGATTCTCAAAAATTAGTTTTGGAACAAGAATATATTGAAAAAGATCAACAATTAACAGAACGTGAGGAAAAAATTCAAGAACTTCAACTAACTCTTAAACAAACTCAAGAAAGTGGAACAAAATTACGTAAAGCATTACATAAAATGAAAGAAACTATAACTAATAATGAACAAACACATAATCAAGAATTAGGTATATTTCTAAACATTAATAGTTATTTTTCAAAAAACAAAAAAAAATAATTCTTTTTGTTAGAAATTCGTTTACGTATACTTACTGAAGAATATGAACAGAAATTAAAAGAACAAGAAGCAGAATATAGTGCAAAATTAAAATCTATTACTAAAGAAATAAACTCACAAATGGAAGAAAAAGAAAAACAATTCAATCTACAACTTCAAGAATTAATTGGTAAAGTTTCACAAAACTTTTTCAATTTTTTTAAAATTAATTCGTATTTTTTAATTAGATAAAAGTTATCAAAATGAAAATAATATAAAACAAAAAATTATCGAAGCTGAACAACGAGCATCAATCACTGAAGAACAATTAAAAGTTCGTCAGTTTGGATTTTTATTTAAATAAATAACAAAATAAAATCTTCTAGGAAAAACAAACAGAAACTTATCGTATTCATGAACTTGAAAATCAAATACATGATCTTCAAACAATGCTAGAAAGTTTAAACAATAGAGAAAACATTCCCATTCAGTAAGTTAACAAAATAAAACAGACATTTATAAAGATGTGTGAAACCAAGATTTGAAGATTTGCTAAGATCAGGACTAAAACCTATAAGTTTTAGTCGCACACATCTCTAGATATGCTCATGGCGACGTTATAGATATTATTATAACAATAACCTCGCAGAAGCGTGGCTGCAATGCACTGTTCTACTATAGAATCAAAAACATTATTTTTTTTTTATAGAACAAGTGATCATGCTGCTCAAACCAATATCGAAGGTAAAGAGAAAATAGATGTTTATTAATACTTATTATTTGATATTTAGATTCAAAATCAAATGCTTCTCAAACGAATGCAAATAATACTTTGCATTCATGTATAGTCGAACCAACTGAAATTGATTATTTAAAACAGATTGTTTTTGCTTATATGACAGGAACTGATCGAATGGTATGTTATACATAATCAATAGATCAATAGACTAATAATCCTTTTTTTAAGACTATGGTGAAAGTCATTTGTGCACTTCTTCGTTATACTGATGATGAAAAATCATTAATCATTGATCATGAAAAAAAAAGTCAGAATGTAAGTAAAATAAAAATAAAAGTCGAATATTTTTTTTTTAGAATTTGATTTTTTGGTTATTTAGCGTTGGTTAAATTCATCAAGATAATATGAATTAATATTATGATATTGGAATTTTTATGTTTATTTCTCAAGTATATCAATAGTGAATCTCTTTTGTCAAAAAAAAACGGCAATATTTAATCTTCAGTTTTTTTTCTTGCACCATTGTATTTGAATTTTCAAAGTTATTATTTTTACTTTTTTTTTTGTTTATGATGATAGACATTCTTTCTATAAAATTATTTTTATGTATATTTATGTGCATAAAGTATTGCAATTGCATATAGAAATAACACAATAATATAAATTATTTGATAGAGACTGTCTAAAAGGCTTCCACACTGTTTTGTGTTGCGCAAGTTTTGAGTTTTCTTCTTGGGCATATTTTAAAGGTATTAGAATGCTAGTGTTTATGTTGAGTATCAGATTTTTGTATTGATCAGTTCGAAGAATATAATCCTGTCTCTTTATATCCATTCGATTAACAAATGAAGGTTTCTTTCAAAGCTATGAATGGTCTAAATCACTGATTGATTGTATATTGTTGTTATTAAATAAGCGTCTACCTTGCGGTATTGGATGAAAGAATAAAGTATAAAAAAACACAAAAGCTCCATGAAAAAAATGTTCTCTCGGGGAACTTCTTATTTGGTTACCATAGATTTCCAGCGCTACAGCAATTTGTCCGATATAGAATTTTCTAGGATTGCCGGCTTAGTTTCGATTGTATTCGTCATTAAGTGCAAGACTATTGCGACTGAGCTCTTCCAATAAGTCTATGTTTTATGTTCGAATGCTATTTTGCTTCTACCATTAATGAAAACACTATCTCACATCCCTCTCATCATTGCAAACCAGCAGTGGAACGAAGAATATCCTCTACTTTTTGTAGTCAGCCTGCATCGGACGAGAAATTCGAGACAAACGGTTGTTAGTGACAAATTCAGATCATTTTATAGCTGGTGACATCGAGGTTTTGACACAATATCTAGTGACTACCTATCAAACAAGACAGCCATTTAGTCATGATGATCCCAAGCAACAGTGAGATCCTATAAATGACCAAAGACATTCCCAGCAGACAGATAGTACCAGTTTATTATTCATCAAGAATAATCTAAACTTCAGTAGTAACTTTCGTACTAATAATAAACTTTATTATAGAAGATGTAAATAATAAATAGTCGTTTTTATGGACTAAATGCTTAGAGATTCGATTCAATTGAATATCAAGCAGTTATTTCCTTTTGATCTACTAAACGAAGTAATACATGCATAACTGTACATGATCGTACTAGAAATTGTCAGTAATATCGAAGAAAAGTAAATGATCTTTCTATGCAAATTGAGTTCACGCTTACTGCACAGGATAATATATAATTGTCTATACAGATTTCTTACGTAAAGTGAGAGTAAAACATACATTCTTATTTTATATTAATCCAGTATTGATCAAATTTTCTATTATTAAAAGTATTCAATCAATTTTCATATTAAATTTTGAATGTGTTATCTTCTAACTATGCAAAGTAATCCATCTCGGTCTCTTGAATAAAAAAAAACATGAATTTGTATTAAACAAATATCGGAGTACATTAAATTTTGTCAATGATAATAATTATATATATGTTAGTAAATGGAACAAAAAAGAAGAAAAGAAAAACAAACAAACAAACAAACAAAAAAAAACTCGGAAGAAATTTCTTATAGAAATTGAAAAATATAAAGTTTCAATTCAAACTATTTGGAGTTGATGATGATGATGATGATTGACGATGTTCATTATTAATCATACGATTTGTCGTTGTGGTTGTTGTTGATGATGCTTCTTGTTTGTCTCGTTTTATATTAAGTGATATAGCTTTATCCTCATTTTTACTTATGTCATTTAAACTTTGTAATTTATTATCTTTTTTCCATTTCATTCGACTAGAGAAAGACGAAAATAAAATTTACTACAAAGAAAAAAGAATTTCTTTTTTATACCGATTTTGAAACCAAATCTAAAAAAGTATCTTTTTAAAAGAAAAATATGTAGTATATTGATTTTTTTTTACTTTAATTTGTCGTTCAGTCAATGCAAGACTATGTGCAATTTCAATTCGTCTTCTTCGTGATAAATATCTACGTTGAAATATTACAAAAAAAATATTAGTAATTAATCCTTTTTTTTGTCATCAAATTTAATTCAAACCGGTTGAAATGAAATTCTTTTTCTAATTCAAGTGTTTGATATCTTGAATATGATGTCCGTGTTCGTTTCGTTTCACCAATATGTGGATCTAAAATCGCGTGATAAAAATTCATAGATCATTATTTTTTTTTTGGTTGCTTTTTCTTTGCATATCATCAGATAAAAAACACAAAAATGAAATTTGACTAAAAAGAAAAGACATTAATCTCACACGCACTTGACATTGCATAGTTTTCTCTTAACATAGGACTTCCTGAATATATATACACCGACATGTTTGATGCCTTTTTTTTCTTCTTTTTTTACTATTGTTCTACATAGTCTCATCGATTACATGACCATTAGAACCATCTGTTGATTCTTTGACAATGAGTCGGCATCATCTTGTATGCGTGTGTTTCCTTTTCTCGTATCTTTTGTCCCAATCAGATTGCAAGGCAAACGTCATATCTATGTATATACAAACTCATTTATTCATTCGTCCCGACCAGAACGAGCCCATAAATCTCCTCTCACGCGCAAGAGAACGACATAAATAGCCCATAAAAAAGATTGTGTGTATATGGTAAAAATGTCGATGTTAGAATATATAAACAAAAAGAAAACGACGAAACGAATAGAATTTCATATCTCTCTTTCTATCTTTCTTCCTTTCAGTTTGAAACTTAAATAAGACATAAAACTTACCACAACTATTATGAATACGTCTCATCCATGGATAAATATTTTGTTGTTGATTTCCTGGATGATGATGATGATGTTGTTGCTGTTGCTGTTGTTGTTGTTGTTGTTGTTGTTCGATTGACATTGAAAATGTATCCGTTGGTTTTAATATTTGTTGTTGAGGATGTGTATATGATATATAGGAATTCATAAATGAATGAGAATGAGGATGATGTTGTTGTAAATTATTTGATGTTAATGTTGATGTAAAACCATGATTTGATCCACTTGTATCCGAAGTAAGACCTGTTGTTGGTGTTATATTTGTATATGGATAATCAAACGCATTAACAAATGATCCTGTTGACATATTAGTATAATAATTACTTGTAAGATTTGAATCATTTTGTCTATAATTTAAAAAATGTCGTACAAGTGGATCATGATTAAAATGTGAAGAAGGTGATGTTGATGTTGATACAACAGCATCAAAAGGATTTGTTTGTTGATTTGATGATAAACATAATGGAAAATCAGTATTATTTAAATATGATGTATTTGTATCAAATGAATTATTAATATTAACATTATTAATCGTTGCTATTTGTGTTGTATTTTCATCAGATGATGTACTGTTACTACTATTATTATTATTATTATTATTGCTGCTATTTGATGTTGAAAATAAATGATGATAGCCTAATGATGACGGTGTTGACAATACATTAGAAGCAGCAGCAATAGCAGCAGAAGTACTGGAGAAGGTAGCCATTTGTCCGATAATTAAGTACACACGCGGGACTTTAACGACGTTAATAGCGGCGATAATCGGTCTTGACGAACATCGTTTAGTGAATTTAATGGGAGCACATAGAAGAAAGAGCAAATGGTAATTGAGAAGGAATTAGATAGACCAGATGAGATGATTGAAAGTTAGTCAATTGAATAGTCGATGAGATTCTTTGTATCCGTAATGGTGCAATCAACTTGAGATAATGGCCGTTTGGGAGCCTATATAAATGACTTTCGATATATTGGCAATAACGACTTGTTGCTTTCTTTTTTTTTCTGTTTCTTTCTTTGCTTTCTTTTTTTTTCTGTTTCTTTCTTTGCTTTTTTCCCCCTCTTTGCTATCGCTCTCGATAGCGATAGGTCGAATATATTATTTTGTCGAACGCATTTAGTCCAATCAAAAAGTCATTTATTTATATATGATGGGTATGAGATGAATAAAAGCTAAGTGTAGGTTTTTTTTTTATTTGCAAGAATATACATTTGTGCCATATCTTTTATGCAATCAATAGGTAACGACGATGAATAGTTGTCTGGATGTTATATGCGGCGATATTATTAGTAAAAGTTTTGTGTATGTGTGTGTAAAATTGCATTTATTTATATTTAACCATTTTTTTTTTCTTTTGTCAGAACTGTAAAGAAAAAATTTTTTCGTTGATTTTAATGAGATGTACATGAAGCATAGATTTGAAGTGATGCATATAGAAATTGTTTATACTGTTCACCTCCTCTCTTGCGTTCAATGAGCAATACGATAGGACAAGCTGGATTTTTTTTCTGAAATTTCTTTTTATTAAAGACATATGATATCTAGAGAACGTTCTGTATTAACTCATTAGATTATATATTAAACTCTTTTCATACTAGTGCATGATATTTTTTCCTTGCTTACGTTCACTAATCGACTAATACTTATGTCTTGATAGTTAAATAAAAATGATTTACTACTTACGCTCAACATATTGAATATATGTATGTTAAGCTAAAGTTTTACTTTTATATATGTTTACGAGATGTAAAAATTTTCGAAAATTGTAACTTTCATTGCTTCTCGAAAATGTCTTTTATAGGGGAATTAAATGTTACACGTTGCAAGATGGCTGGTGCGTGGCTCATAGAATAAATTAGAAAATAAGTAATGAGCAATCGAGAAATAATTTGAAAAAAAAAATGTTCGTTCCTTTGTTAAACTTTTATCGAAGTCAGCAAAAATTTGAAAACATGAGGTTAGAAGCAGAACATTTCTTTTGTTTCCGAATATGGGTTCAATTATTTCTAGAAGTTATGAAATGATTTTTTTGAAGTTCAATGAATGAGTAAACATTTCTTTATAAAACGGTGTGGTAACGATTAGTTTACTGTAAGTTACTTGTCACCAATCAGTGATTTCTACG